GCATAATCACTTTCACCCAAATTGCCTTCCACCTTGAGATTTGCTACCAATTAAGTAAAAAACAGCTGTGTCCTGGTAAGATCCTCCACTTTCTGGACCAAAGAGTTGTTTTCAATATAACCCAAGGACTTACTGGAAATTTTGTGCTTTGCCCGATTGCTGTCTAGGTAGTTAAAGTCCCCTATTACTACCAGACTTGTTTTTGATGTTGAACTAAATGCTTGGCACCTATACTCAAAGACTGGTCCTATTAATGCTCTATAAATTATTACCTTTGCTTTCTTATCTGCACCAGAAGAGGTTCCAGCAATATTTTTAAATAGACCGTAAATACTGAAGATAAATGTAAAGATGAAAGCAATGTGATCCGTTCATGTTACCATGCTATCAAATGTCAGGAATTTCTAGCTTTTAACTATGCCTATTTGCTGTCCACATAGACCATTTACAATCATTTTTATATTTTCCTTTAATATCATTCTTTAAGAACTGAAAATTTAAAGATCGACATTTCCCCATTCCGCACCTTTCCTATATGCTTCGTTAATTTGCTTTTTAGCTACTTTCTGGTTTCTGTTTTTAGCCCACAGGGCAGTCATCTGTAAACAATAAAATGGCTATTCCTGCACTCATCCTTTTCAACAGGTTTCAGAGTAACAGCCGTGTTAGTCTGTATTCGCAAAAAGAAAAGGAGTACTTGTAGCACCTTAGAGACTAACCAATTTATTTGAGCATGAGCTTTCGTGAGCTACAGCTCACTTCATCAGATGTATACCGTGGAAACTGCAGCAGACTTTATATATACACAGAGAATATGAAACAATACCTCCTCCCACCCCACTGTCCTGCTGGTAATAGCTTATCTAAAGTGATCATCAGGTGGGCCATTTCCAGCACAAATCCAGGTTTTCTCACCCTCCACCCCCCCACACAAATTCACTCTCCTGCTGGTACTAGCCCATCCAAAGTGACAACTCTTTACATAATCAAGTCGGGCTATTTCCTGCATAAATCCAGGTTTTCTCACATCCCCCCCACCCCCATACACACACAAACTCACTCTCCTGCTGGTAATAGCTCATCTAAACTGACCACTCTCCAAGTTTAAATCCAAGTTAAACCAGAACATCTGGGGGGGGGGGTAGGAAAAAACAAGAGGAAACAGGCTACCTTGCATAATGACTTAGCCACTCCCAGTCTCTATTTAAGCCTAAATTAATAGTATCCAATTTGCAAATGAATTCCAATTCAGCAGTTTCTCGCTGGAGTCTGGATTTGAAGTTTTTTTGTTTTAAGATAGCAACCTTCATGTCTGTGATTGCGTGACCAGAGAGATTGAAGTGTTCTCCGACTGGTTTATGAATGTTATAATTCTTGACATCTGATTTGTGTCAGTGGGGTGGGAGGAGGTATTGTTTCATATTCTCTGTGTATATATAAAGTCTGCTGCAGTTTCCACGGTATACATCTGATGAAGTGAGCTGTAGCTCACGAAAGCTCATGCTCAAATAAATTGGTTAGTCTCTAAGGTGCTACAAGTACTCCTTTTCCTTTTCAACAGATAGTTTATTATGCTGAATAAGGTAGAGCTGATGACATTCCCCTGTGGGCTGCAATTTGTGAATGTATATATGCTAAAGTAGGCTTTCCTTACTCTGACCTGCATAGTTCTTTTACGTAAGAAATCCTTTATCCAGCTATATGTTCTTCCTTTTATGCTTATTGCTATTTTATGCAATAAGCTCTCTCTCAATATCATAAGCTTTTACAATATCTAAGAAAGCTACTATCAGATGGTCTTTATTTCTCATACTTTTTTGGCTTCTGTCTCTACTCTTACTATATGATCAGACGTATTCCTTCCCCTCCTGAACTCACTTTGCACATTGTCTTAATTTTCCCTTTACATATATTTGCTACGTGGCATCATTAGCACTTCACCGGGGGTGGGGATATATGGTTTTGTCAAAAAAAAAAAATCGAATATCCTATTGTTACCCTATCTGGAAGGGTTTCTCTTTTAAATGCAACTAGCACAACTGTTGATATCTTTCTTTCCCCTATTCTTGCAAATTAATGGTTAACATATAGTATAAAAAAAAAAAGGAGTTCTTGTGGCACCTTAGAGACTAACCAATTTATTTGAGCATGAGCTTTCGTGAGCTACAGCTCACTTCATCAGATGTATACTTATCCCTTATGCTTTGCTTCACTTCATCTTCAGTCATTTTGATTAGCACCCCATATACAATTTCTTTTGTCTCCATCAGATGCTTAGGCAGTTGACAGCTTACTTTCACTTCTCCTGGCATTTTAATCTTTGTTTCTCCACTTGTTCGTTGCTTTTACATTCAATTAACAGATCACCTCCTTGCAGCATTCTAGCTCTTTCAATGGCTCCAGCACATTTAAAAATCCACTCTGCCACTTTCAGAGGGTTTATATTCCCTAACTTCACACCCTTGAGTAATGAATATTGAATTATTATAATAGTTTGATTTTACTCTTTTCTCATTCCTGTCTTTCTGCTTACTGTTTCTTCTTCTAGCTCTGGCATGTCTACACTTTTCTTTTTCCTAACATATGACCCTCTGCTATCTTCTTTATCATTTTCTAGACTGGTTTCAGTATTCTCCATTATATCTTCCAGCCCCCTAGTTATAATTCAGCAAGTCCCACTCAAATTCCCACCCTTTCATCTGAACTTCCTTTGTTTATAGTACCCACCCACCTTCTTCTCCAGTTGGGACTCATGTTCAGTTAAGTCTGGCCCACCCCCCAGGTGCAGCCACAGAGAATAATAATTATACTAACTGGCCCCACAGACGTATATTAAACCATTCATGACCTGTGTGGAGTACACACCCCATCACAATATGCATTATGAAAGTACTGAATTTGCAGTTCTTTGGAATAAACTGAACAAGCTAATAAGGTAGAGAAGCTACAAGAAAGAGCCCAGGCTTAAACTTACCAAGAAATGAGAACCACTGCAGATTCTATTGGAATTCTATATATTTGCACATCAACGAATGGCTGTTAAACACAGGTGTATATATAGGGTGACCAGATGTATCGATTTTATAGGGACAGTCCCGATTTTTGGGTCTTTTTCTTATATAGGCTCCTATTACCCCCCACTTCCTGTCCCGATTTTTCCACACTTGCTATCTGGTTTCAGAGTAACAGCCATGTTAGTCTGTATTCACAAAAAGAAAAGGAGTACTTGTGGCACCTTAGAGACTAACCAATTTATTTGAGCATAAGCTTTTGTGAGCTACAGCTCACTTCATCGGATGCATACTGTGGAAAGTGTAGATGATCTTTTTATATACACACAAAGCATGAAAAAATACCTCCTCCCACCCCACTCTCCTGCTGCTAATAGCTTATCTAAAGTGAAAAGGAGTACTTGTGGCACCTTAGAGACTAACCAATTTATTTGAGCATGAGCTTTCGTGAGCTACAGCTCACTTCATCAGATGTTTACCGTGGAAACTGCCTGATGAAACATCTGATGAAGTGAGCTGTACCTCACGAAAGCTCATGCTCAAATAAATTGGTTAGTCTCTAAGGTGCCACAAGTACTCCTTTTCTTTTTGCGAATACAGACTAACACGGCTGTTCCTCTGAAACCTGTCATTATCTAAAGTGATCACTCTCCTTACAATGTGTATGATAATCAAGTTGGGCCATTTCCAGCACAAATCCAGGTTTTCTCAACCCCCCCCACACACACACAAACCCACTCTCCTGCTGGTGCTGTCTAGTCACCCTAGGTACATATAGCTAGATTACCTCAGAGTTAGATTATTTATTTGAATAGAATGGCTGCACAGATGTGTTCTTAAATCTAAAGTGTCACAGGTTCAAGAAAAAGCAAGTGTTTATTAAAATATAACATAATACCAAACCTCTGTTTATTTGTTTGTTAATAGCCCTCTCAGTGTTGTCAAATCTCATGATTTTATTGTGAGTTTCTCAACATATGGTGTTTTTCTTAAAGCCTCAACTCCTGGAGACACTTAAATATATGAGACTAACAAAAAAAACCAAGTTTCTAGCCCTCATGGTTGCAAAGGAAACATTGAAATTTGACCTATGTGCACCCTGTAAGGTTCAAAAACAGAAGGCAAATGAAAAGAGCTCAAGATATAGTCTTTAAAATCTTCGTGATTGATTTTTTTTTAAAGTATTAGAGCTCATGATTGGTTTCAGAGTAACAGCCGTGTTAGTCTGTATTCGCAAAAAGAAAAGGAGTACTTGTGCCACCTTAGAGACTAACCAATTTATTTGAGCATAAGCTTTCGTGGGCTACAGCTCACTTCATTGGATGCATACTCATGATTGTTGAATGCTTGAAGTTGCCAATACTGCATTCCGGAAACATTCACAGATTTTAAGGCAATAAATGACCATTATGATAATCTAGTCTGACTTGAACTTCTGCATAACATAGGCTATATTTGTGCTGCACGATATATTTCAGGATCAGCTGAACCCCTACATTTTCTCTTACTCACACACACACACTTTATATCACAACAATCCTTTCCGCTGCTGGATTTTTCTCCCCCGAAGGCGCTTCACCAGGATCTACTCCAGCCCTGCAATACTTGGATCCATCTTGTTTAAGCTAAATATCAATCCTCACCCCACAACAGGCTTCAAACATACAGCTTTCACAGTGTGCACAAGTAATGTGAGTGCATAAAAGACACTACATTGTGTACTTTCTCTCAAACAGTTTACAGTGCCAAATTCATCCCTGCTATATCCAACTGCAGTAACTGTAGTATACTTATAGCAGGAATTACTTTAATCCCTTTATATAGAAAGGGCCTCAAATATCACTCTTAGAACCAACCATACATTATAGTGTGGTGACCACTAAGTGCCAGATTGGGAATCCAAGGAACCAGAAAACCACTGCAGATGTGTATAGTAAAGTAGATCAAGGTGTACGTTAAACATTAGCAGAAAGAAAAAGTATTGCCAAGTTACTAAAACAAAAATTCCATTTTTAATTACATTTATACTGTTAAATTTTACAATGCCTAACTGTTAGACTCTGCTCTGTACTAAACCAGCGTGATACCTTGTCTTTTGTCATGCTTCAGTTAAGAACATTAAAGTAACACTGTTAGTATAATAAAATGGTTATTTACTTCAAAATAATGAGGTATTTGAAAACGTTCCAAAAACACATGGATTGGTAAAGCCTTTGCCCTAAAGAGATTCTGCCAGGCAAGCAGCCCTTTTATCCTTGTACTTTTTACTATTTGATAATCAAAGGAATAACGGCAGTCTACAACTGCAATAAATGCAAGCAATGTCACAGCTACACATAGGCTAATGAGACAAGTGATTGCTTTACAATGTTACCCTAAAACTTTTTGACACAAACATCCAACCCGTTAAAAGAAAGGTGCCACAAGTCCTCCTTTTCTTTTTGCGAATACAGACCAACACGGCTACTCTGAAACCAACCAGTTAAAATAACTGCAGCTCTCTCAGGGTTTTGAGCACTTGTACGTTTTTTGTTTCTTTGCATTTTAAATGACGAAGCTGCATAGAAGGTCAGTGGCCTTTGCACTGAGAGGAGGCAGTGTTCCCAGAGGGTTCCAGCAGTTTTCAGTACACCCAGGCATTGCTTGTTTGCAATAATTTTATTAAGATAATGTTGAAATAAGGAACAGTACAGAGTTCAAGCATAGAAGTTTCTGGTTGTCAGGGGATAAGGTACAGATTATCAAGGGGTGCAAAATTCGATTTAGGAGCTGGTGGAGCAAGGATCACATAATAATCTGCAATCTCCCCGACTGGGGGAAAAGTTTAACCCGTCAGAGTACAGACATCGAGATATGGGGTAAGTTATCCACACAACGGCTATGTTCAGTATGCTGGGTATAGTGAGTGAATACGGAGGTGGGGATGGGTCTACCCTCATTTGGTGGGGTTTAATGTTCAGTGGGTTTACGATTCCAGTTCATACGGTCCGATGGGGAAGGTCTCTCAGTCTCTTTCCCACAGTGTGTGCACAATGTCGTACCGGCTCACTCCTCCTGGTACTGTCGGTGGCCGGTGATGTGCTCGATATAGATGTCCCTGGACCATCGGATGGTGTCCGAGACCATGAGGCGCCGCATGAGCCGTGCATAGCATCTACCAATCCCGCAGGTCCGCAGCACATGCTCGTTGCAGGGGTCCCAAGCGCCCAGGGCTCCGACGATCAGGGCGTCCAGCTGCACCTCGTAGCCCTTCGCTCTCAGGGTGTTGGCCAAAGGGGCGTATTTTTCCAGTTTCCGAGCTCGAGCTTCTCAGAAGGCCGGGGTCCTGTTCTCGAAAGGGACTGTGATGTCGACGAGGATGATCTTTTTCTGGGTTTCGTTGGTGACAACCACGTCGGGTCGCAGCGGGCTGTCGGTACCGGAGATGGCGCAGTTCACGGCGACCTCCCCCAGGCTCGGTGAGATGGCTTTCACCAGGCGGTTCTGGATGGCGTTGTGGCGCAGCTGCCAGGCTCTGGAGTGGGGCTTGCAGCTGCACAGGACATGGGTCAAGGTCTCGTTGGAGTAGCCGCACTTCCTGCAACGCTTGTCTCGGTTCCCGTGGCGGACGGCTCCGTTGAGCGGGACGCAGTTGAGCCGGGCGTGGTGGATGAACCGCCAGTCGGCGAAGCGGGTGAAGCTGCCCCCGGCGAGAAAGTGGTTGCTGGCGTCCCACTTGCTGGTCAGTTCGAAGGCTTTTCCCTGGTCCGGCTTGCGCTTCAGGGCTTCTACGTACAGCGAGTGGGTGGTACTAAACAACTAAACAATGCACAGTATGTGCGTGCCGCGCCAGTAACTCCGGGTTTCCACGCCCATCCCCGTGACAGCTACGGGACGAAGCTCTGGTGCTTACATGCGTCTGGGTGTCAAACACGCCCAGACTGGGAAGAATGGGCCTCTCCCTCTGACGACCTCAGACCTCAGACCGCAGAGGGAGGAGTCCAGGGCCGTAAGCTCCTGGGGGCGGGGGCCGTCGCTCTGTTCTGCCTTTGTACAGCGCCGAGCCCTGACGCCCGGGCGCTACCACAAGACAGAGACGAGGTGACGCACCGGGGAGCCTCGGGCCCAGACCCCGGGGACGGGGCGTGAAACCCGGGGATTCGGAGAAGGAAAGTGCCGCCGACACGGGCCGCTGCAGCCCGGAGCTCAGCCAGCCGCAGACCGCCGGGCAGACCCCGCCGCCGCCAGGGGAGCGGAGATGGAGGGGCGGCGCGGGCCCCAGCGCTGGGGGGCTCCCGGGGGGGGCGCCGCTTGGGCTGGGATTTGGGGGCCGCCGCGGTTCCCTGCTCGCCGGCTCACCTCAGGGGGGCAGCGGCCGGCGCGCGCCTCCCTCAGCGCGAGGCGCCAACCGCCGCCGGCAGCGCGCCCAACGCTGCGCGCGAGACCCCCACCCCGCGCGCCGCGAGCCCCGCCCCCACAGAGACCCCCCTCCCCCGCCCCGCGCGCCCCGCCCCCACAGAGATACCCCCTCCTCCGCCCCGCGCGCCAAGAGCCCCGCCCCCACAGAGACCTCCCTCCCCCTCCCCGCGAGCCCCGCCCCCACAGAGATACCCCCTCCTCCGCCCCGGCGCCCCGCCCCCACAGAGATACCCCCCCCCCTTGCGCCGCGAGGCCCCCCCACAGAGACCCCCCCCACTCCCCGCGCGCGCCGCGAGCCCCGCCCCCACAGAGACCCCCTCCCCCGCCCCCCGCCCCGCCCCCACAGAGATACCCCCGCCCCGCGCGCCGCGAGGCCCGCCCCCACAGAGACCCCCTCCCACTCCCCGCGCGCCGCGCGCCGCGAGCCCCGCCCCCACAGAGACCCCCCCCTCCCCGCCCCGCGCGCCCCGCCCCCACAGAGATACCCCCGCCCCGTGCGCCGCGAGGCCCGCCCCCACAGAGACCCCCTCCCCCTCCCCGCGCGCCGCGAGCCCCGCCCCCACAGAGATACCCCCTCCCCCCCCCGCGCGCCGCGAGCCCCGCCCCCACAGAGACCCCCCCCCCGCCCCGTGCGCCCCGCCCCCCACAGAGATACCCCCTCCCCCGCGCCGCGAGGCCCGCCCCCACAGAGACCCCCTCCCACTCCCCGCGCGCCGCGAGCCCCGCCCCTACAGAGACCTCCCTCCCCCGCGCCGCGAGCCCCGCCCCCACAGAGACCCCCCTCCCCCCGCCCCGCGCGCCCCGCCCCCACAGAGATACCCCCACCCCGCGCGCCGCGAGCCCCGCCCCCACAGAGAACCTCCCTCCCCCTCGCCCGCGAGCCCCGCCCCCACAGAGACCCCCTCCCCCCGCGCCCGCGCGCCGCCCCGCCCCCACAGAGATCCCCCCGCCCCCGCGCCCCCACAGAGACCCCCCCCCCGCCCCCACAGAGACCTCCCTCCCCCCCCCCCCGCGAGCCCCGCCCCCACAGAGACCCCCCCCCCCGCCCCCGCGCCCAGGCGCCCCGCCCCCACAGAGACCTCCCTCCCCCTGCCCCGCGAGCCCCGCCCCCACAGAGACCCCCCCCCCTCCCCCCGCCCCGCGCGCCGCGAGCCCCGCCCCCACAGAGACCCCCCCTCCCCCGCCCCCGCCCCGCGCGCCCCCCCCCACAGAGATACCCCCGCCCCGCGCCGCGAGGCCCGCCCCCACAGAGACCCCCCCTCCCCTCCCCGCGCCCCGCGCGCCCCGCCCCTACAGAGATACCCCGCGCCCCGCGAGCCCCGCCCCCCACAGAGACCCCCTCCCCCCGCCCCCGCGCGCCCCGCCCCCACAGAGATACCCCCGCCCCGCGCGCCAAGAGCCCCGCCCCCACAGAGACCTCCCTCCCCCGCCCCGTGCGCCGCGAGCCCCGCCCCCACAGAGACCCCCCCTCCCCCCGCCCCGTGCGCCGCGAGCCCCGCCCCCACAGAGATACCCCCGCCCCACGTGCCGGGAGCCCCGCCCCCCCCCAGAGACCCCCCCCGCCCCGTGCGCCGGCGAGCCCCGCCCCCCCCAGAGACCCCCACCCCGCCCTCCATTACAGACCTAAAAGTGGCAATTCTTCAACAGAAAAACCTCAAAACCAGACTCCAAGGAGAGGCTGCTGGATTGGGGTCAATTTGCAAACTGGACACCATTAACCTAGGCTGGACTAGAGACTGGGAGCGGAGGGGTCATCACACAAAGTAAAACTGTTTCCCCTGTTTACCCCCCCCAGACCTTCCTCTCAAGGGCTGGAAAGGGCCCAGCTTGATTATCGGGACCAAAGGTTCCCCCTCCCCTGCTCCCTCTCCTTACTCTGCTCAGGGTGACACCCATTGTTTCATGTTCTCTGTGTATATAGATCTCCCCCCTGTATTCGCCACTGAATGCATCCAGCCCATGTCTCAGGAAAGCTCATGCTCAAATAAATTGGTTCGTCTCTAAGGTGCCACAAGTCCTCCTTTTCTTTGTGCGAATACAGACGAACACGGCTGTTCCTCTGAAACAAGAAAACAGAGACACCCGTGATCCTAAAGATGCCCTGCATCATTTTTCTTCTACTGAGGAATGCTGAACGGAACAAAAATGTTTCTAATGCAACTTTTAGTTAGTACATAAAAGCCTTATTCTTCCCTTGATCTTTGTACATACCTCCCATTGGCATCCATGGGAGACCTGCAATGCATCCAGGGGAGCATATGACGCTATTTAGTATCAGCTGAGGAGTCATAATTACAAATGTAGCTTGGCGCACTCTTCAGAAGAACTCTGAGGTCTCTGCTTCAGTTTAAGGCATTTCCAGTGCGATTATGAAATGATTTGCACACGCTTTGTGCCTTGCCAGTCTATTGTTTTAAGTTATGTGGAGCACTTCCCACCTTGGATGTGGCTGTGGCAATTCTGGTTTGTCTGCTGGTTTGTGCAAGTTGTCTGCTGAATCTCTGGGGCCCCAATAAATGAGAGTGTATATTTTCGTGGGGCTTATAGAGGAAAGGAAAATGTCAATAAGATGGACATTTCCTTAATTATAGTTTTGACAGCTAACTCAGTTCTGGTCTCCCTCCCTCCCTTATCCGTAGCACAGCTGCTCTGAGGTTAATGAGGTTTCCAAGCGCTGGCTTGTAGCACTGCTTATATCTGTAGCAGCAGACTGCGCATAGAATCATAGAGTCATAGAATATCAGGGTTGGAAGGGACCTCAGGAGGTCATCTAGTCCATGCCCCTGCCCAGAGCAGGACCAACCCCCGACTAAATCATCCCAGCCAGGGCTTTGTCAAGCCTGACCTTAAAAACTTCTAAGGAAGGAGATTCTACCACCTCCCTAGGTAACACATTCCAGTGTTTCACCACCCTCTTAGTGAAAAAGTTTTTCCTAATATCCAACCTAAACCACCCCCTCTGCAACTTGAGACCATTACTCCTTGTTCTGTCCTCTGCTACCACTGAGAACAGTCTAGATCCATCCTCTTTGGAACCCCCTTTCAGGTAGTTGAAAGTGGCTATCAAAGCCTCCCTCATTCTTCTCTTCCGCAGACTAAACAATCCCAGCTCCCTCAGCCTCTCCTCATAAGTCATGTGTTCCAGTCCCCTAACCATTTTTGTTGCCCTCCACTGGACGCTTTCCAATTTTTCCACATCCTTCTTGTAGTGTGGGGCCCAAAACTGGACACAGTACTCCAGATGAGGCCTCACCAATGTCGAATAGAGGGGAACGATCACGTCCCTCGATCTGCTCGCTATGCCCCTACTTATACATCCCAAAATGCCATTGGCCTTCTTGGCAACAAGGGCACACTGCTGACTCATATCCAGATTCTCATCCACTGTCACCCCTTGGTCCTTTTCCGCAGAACTGCTGCCTAGCCATTCGGTCCCTAGTCTGTAGCGGTGCATGGGATTCTTCCATCCTAAGTGCAGGACTCTGCACTTGTCCTTGTTGAACCTCATCAGATTTCTTTTGGCCCAATCCTCTAATTTGTCTAGGTTCCCCTGTATCCTATCCCTACCCTCCAGCGTATCTACCACTCCTCCCAGTTTAGTGTCATCTGCAAACTTGCTGAGGGTGCAATCCACGCCATCCTTCAGATCATTAATGAAGATATTGAACAAAACCGGCCCCAGGACCGACCCTTGGGGCACTCCACTTGATACCGGCTGCCAACTAGACATGGAGCCATTGATCACTACCCGTTGAGCCTGACAATCTAGCCAGCTTTCTATCCACCTTATAGTGCATTCATCCAGCCCATACTTCTTTAACTTGCTGGCAAGAATACCGTGGGAGACCGTGTCAAAAGCTTTGCTAAAGTCAAGGAACAACACGTCCACCGCTTTCCCCTCATCCACAGAGCCAGTTATCTCTTCATAGAAGGCAATTAGATTAGTCAGGCATGACTTGCCTTTGGTGAATCCATGCTGACTGTTCCTGATCACTTTCCTCTCATCTAAGTGCTTCAGAATTGATTCCTTGAGGAATCATGATTTTTCCAGGAACTGAGGTGAGGCTGACTGGCCTGTAGTTCCCAGGATCCTCCTTCTTCCCTTTTTTAAAGATGGGCACTACATTAGCCTTTTTCCAGTCGTCCGGGACTTCCCCGATCACCATGAGTTTTCAAAGATAATGACCAATGGCTCTGCAATCACATCCGCCAACTCCTTTAGCACTCTTGGATGCAGCGCATCTGGCCCCATGGACTTGTGCAAGTCCAACTTTTCTAAATAGTCCTGAACCACTTCTTTCTCCACAGAGGGCTGGTCACCTCCTCCCCATGCTGTGCTGCCCAGTGCAGTAGTCTGGGAGTTGACCTTGTTCGTGAAGAAAGAGGCAAAAAAAGCATTGAGTACATTAGCTTTTTCCACATCCTCTGTCACTAGGTTGCCTCCCTCATTCAGTAAGGGGCCCACATTTTCCTTGACTTTCTTCTTGTTGCTAACATACCCAAAGAAACCCTTCTTGTTACTCTTAACATCTCTTGCTAGCTGCAACTCCAGGTGTGATTTGGCCTTCCTGATTTCACTCCTGCATGCCCGAGCAATATTTTTATACTCTTCCCTGCTCATTTGTCGAATCTTCCACTTCTTGTAAGCTTCTTTTTTGTGTTTAAGATCAGCAAGGATTTCACTGTTAAGCCAAGCTGGTCGCCTGCCATATTTACTATTCTTTCTACACATGGGGATGGTTTGTCCCTGTAACCTCAATAAGGGTTCTTTAAAATACAGCCAGCTCTCCTGGACTCCTTTCCCCCTCATGTTATTCTCCCAGGGGATCTTGCCCATCAGTTCCTTGAGGGAGTCCAAGTCTGCTTTTCTGAAGTCCAGGGTCCGTATTCTGCTGCTCTCCTTTCTTCCCTGTGTCAGGATCCTGAACTCGACCGTCTCATGGTCACTGCCTCCCAGGTTCCCATCCACTTCTTCTTCCCCTACTAATTCTTCCCGGTTTGTGAGCAGCAGGTCAAGAAGAGCT